AAGCTATATATAAAAGCACTATACCATGTTAAAGATATATATATATATATATATATATATATATATATATATATATATATATATATATATATATATATATAAGCACAATATCACGTTAAAGCAATGTATAAAAGCACAATACAATGTTAAAGCTATATATAGAAACACAATACTATATTATACAAGCACAATACCCTGTTAGATTGAATTTTAGATACTTTAGAGACTAAAGAAGATCATTCCACCGCTGAGGAACAAAGAAATGAAAGGTTCTGGAAATAAATATTCTTTAAAATATAAGATTTCCGATACCACGTTAAACCTATATACAAGCACAATACTTGTTGGGATGGAGTAAAAATTAAGGTTTTATTTCAGCCACAAAGAAACAAATAATAACTTTGCGTCTTAATTACATTTAGACATTTATTCTTGGTTCTGTGAGAACTAGAGGCTGGATGTACAGTATATTATGCCTTATTTGACACAGTTTATGCCTCTGAAAAAATCATGACGTTTTCAATACTTAATTTACCCGCTGTATATATAATATATAGATCAGCATTATTTGCAAGCTTGCGAATGTGTTGAGCCAGGCAGTGTTAGCGATGTCCACCGTCTCAGATGTGTGTTTACTCAGTGAGTTCAGTCAGGCGACACTATCAGTGCATAAATATTGTTGATTCTGCAATGACGGAGACTCGCAGTTCAGTTTGACTGGATTGATGAGAAGCCTTCACGGAGGTGTTTGTGTTTACGTGATAAAACTCCACTGTCTTCGGCACAAGAAAAACCCAGAAAGCGGTGAACGAATGAGGTCAAGCTCAACTCTATTAGCCCGAAACAGAATCTGCTGACTTGTAAGGACGGGTCACAATGATATCGGTTACACAAATAAAGAAAAGATTAGACAAATAAAGAAAAGCTACGTGAAAAATAACCGGCTGTTTTTATAGGGGACTCATCACAAAATGTCAATTAATTAACAGTTGCATAGATTTTTATTGATTTGCTGGCATTTATAATTTATTTACACTGTTTTACTGCGGCTCAGACAACTTTTGATGTAAAAAAAAAATCTTAGGTAACACTTAAGTACTAGTTCTCAATGTTCTGGAAATAAACATTCTTTAAAATATGAGGGTTTTAGATACCACCTTAAAGATATATGTATATAGAAGCATAATACCATGTTAAAGCTATATATATATATATATATATATATATATATATATAGCTTTAACATGGTATTATGCATATACTGTATATGTATATATATATATATATATTTATATATATATATATATATGAGATGACGTGACAAACACACAAGCACAATAGTATGTTAAAGCTACATATATATATATATATATATATATATATATATATATATATATATATATATATATATATATATATATATAGCTTTAACATGGTATTATGCATATACTGTGTATATATATATATATATATATATATATATATATATATATATATATATATATATATATATGAGATGACGTGACACACACACAAGCACAATAGTATGTTAAAGCTACATATAAGCACAGTACCACGTTTAAGCTATATATAAGCGCAATACCATGTTAAAGGTATTTATAAGTACAATACAATGTTAAAGCTATATATGGAAGCAAAATACAATGTTAAAGCTATATATATAAGTAGAATACCATTTTAAAGCTATATATAGAAGCACAATACCATGTCAAAGCTATATATAAGTATAATACGATGTTAAAGCTATATAGAAGCACAATACCATTTTAACGTTTTATATATAGAAGCACAATACTATGTTAACGCTATATATAGAACCACGATACCATGTTAATGCTATATATAGAAGCACAATATCATGTTAACATTATATATAGAAGCAAAATACCATGTTAATGCTCTATATATATATATATATATATATATATATATATATATATATATATATATATATATACATACATACATACACATATACATATACATATGTATATACACATGTATATACACACACACACACACACACACACACACACATACATATATATATATATATATATATATATATATATATATATATATATATATATATATATATATATATATATATATATATATATAAGCACAATATCATGTTAACGCTATATATAGAAGCACAATATCATGCTAAAGCTTGACCAAAACACACAGATATCAAGACACATTTGATTTGGTTATGCAGCAATGAGATGACGAGACAGTTTTCACAGTTGCATAAGATTCACATTTATTTGGTTTCAAGTCCTAAAACATCCTAAACATGCTTTTATAACACATATGGGTCACATTCTTCACAGGTAGTAAAAGTCAGAGGAGCAGAAGAAGAGATTTGGCGACGTGGGTTAGGAAAAGCACCTCAGACGTCACTCCCAAAAAAATAACGGCATTTCAGGAGCGCGTCCATTCCCTGAGAAATCCCCCACAATGCACCGCTCTCGTCCGCCTCTGTTTGCTCGAGCCCCAACATTCACCAACGTTTCTCCAATTCAGAATCGAGAAGACTCTCTGGCTACGACAAACTGACAGCGATTCGATAGTCAGCCAATCAGCATACCCGTAACGATCAAGAGAAAGAAATCTGATTGGCTGAAAAAAGTGTCAAAGCATTAACATCATTACAATGACAACAAAAAACAACATGTAAACAGCTGAGAAATAATAACAATAATAAAAAAAGTCAATACATTCTTCATGAAAACAATCCACAAACAGTGTTTATAACTAGGATTATAATACTGCCGTCATAATTGCACTGAGAAACGGTCTTCATTGAAGAGTGACGTAAACACGCAGCATCTGATGAGTTCACACTGTTATATAGCGCAGAAATGACTGAGAAAATAAACAGGTGGGAAACTTCCGGAGACAAAGAAACAGGCTCACTGGTGCTTTGAAACTAATAAATAATACTAAATACTTTGCCTTTGATGAAAGCAAGCATCGTGGTGACGCACAATAGAGGTAGTTTCAATGTACAAGTGACAAAAATGTTCAAATAAAACAACAACAACAAAACAAAGACTTAAACGCAGAGTGTGGCTACTTCAAGAGGTCTTGCTTTTAGTATAAATATCTAAAATGTCTTAAATCAAGAAGCTTTTTCGAGACAATTTAAAATATTGTGGTGTTTTTCGAAGTAATATGTCAAAATTATTGATGCTTTAGAGACTTGGGAAGATCATTTCACCGCTGAGGAACAGAGACACGAAACGTTCTGGAAATAACCCTTCATCAAAATATGAGCTTTTAGATAGCATGTTAAAGCTATACAAAAGCACAATACCATGTTAAAGCTATATAGAAGCACAATGCCATGTTAAAGCTATATATAGAAGCACAATATCATGTTAAAGCTATATATAGAAGGACAATACCACATTCAACAGTTGACAACAGTGAAAGTAAAGGTTTCGGAAATCTTAAATGCTTTAGAGACTTGAAAAAAATAATTCCACCGCTGAGGAACAGAGAAACGAAACGTTCTGGAAATAAACTTTTATCAAAATATGAGCATTTTGATAGCATGTTAAAGCTATATAGAAGCACAATACCATGTTAAAGCTATATATAGAAGCCCAATATCATGTTAAAGCTATATATAGAAACACGATACCATGTTAAAGCTATATATATAGAAGCGCAATACCATGTTAACGCTACATATTGAAGCACAATGCCATGTTAACGCTATATAAAGAAGCACAATACCACATTCAACAGTTGACAACAGTGAAAGTAAAGGTTTTGGAAATCTTAAATGCCTTAGAGACCTGAGAAGATCATTCCACCGCTGAGGAACAGGGAAATGAAACGTTCTGGAAATAAACATTCATCAAATTATGAGCTTTTAGATAGCATGTTAAAGCTATATATAGAAGCAAAATACAGGAAACAGGGAAATATATAAAATTATCATCAAAATGAAGTAAGTTTTTATTAAAAACAAGCATATAATCTGGCAATGAGGTGATAAATATATTAGGGCGTCTGACAGAAGAAAAATCAATTAAGTAAAACAATTAATGATTAACTGAAATTATTGAAAGCTTTAAAGTAATATGGTTTATTTATATTTAATTATTTATCATTATCTTATGTCTCTAAGCTGTAATTTACGAGATATTATATGATACCGTTTATCATAATAAGCTAAGCAAAATAATCTGAAGTCAAAATTAAACGCAAGATTATTTCTCTTACCCCGACTGGCAGATTATTTAGCTTGTTTTAAGGAAAAACTCACTTCATTTTGGCTCATTATTTCCGAAAACAAAATAGTTTACGCTTGTGTGGAAAATGCTTCTTGTTTTAAGAACTTTTAGATACTTAAGACATTTTGTGCAGTGTTTTCCTGCTGAAATATGAGCTGAAAGTCCATTGAGGAAGTCTGAGGATGTTCTAGACGTCTCTGACGCAGACAACGACTTGAAAATGCGTATTATTGCTGTCAACGTCGATGTGTTGTGTAGTTTTTACCTGTAACAAACAATGTCGCTATCAGGAGTTTAGTCTGACGTTTAAGCAAGCTCACACTCCAAAACCACAGAGAAGCCTCAAACACTGCAAAACAGCTTTGATTACCGAGAGCTTTTGTCTCGTTTCTACTCCAATTATGTAAGGATTCTTAAATCAAGAAGCATTTTCTATTGGAGTATAAACTATTGTGGTGTTTTCAGACATAATGAGTCTAAATTAAGTGAGTTTGTCTTTAAAAACAAGCAAAATAATCTCCCAACGAGGTGATAAATATATTAGAGATTTCCATTAGGGCGTCTGACAGAAGAAAAATCAGTGAAGTAAAATGGTTCACAATTAATTGCAATGATTGAAAGCTTTAAAATAATATAATTTATGTATATTTTATTTATTTATCATAAAAAAAAAAAATAAAAAATAAAAAAAAAAATATATATATATATATATATATATATGTGTGTGTGTGTGTGTGTGTGTGTGTGTATATATATATATATATATATTATTTATTTATTTTTTTTGACCTATTATTTCTAAAATAAAACACAATGGTTTGTGCTTGTGTGAAAAATGCTTCCTGGTTTAAGAAGTTTTAGATATTTGAGACATTTTACATTTTGTGCAGTGTTTTCCTGCTGAAATATGAGCTGAAAATCCATTGAGGAAGGCTGAGGCTGTGCTAGATGTCTCTGACGTAAATGACGTCACCCTTGTTTCAAACCAGTTTGAGTTTTTTCTTGTGTTGAACACAAAAGAAGATATTTTGAAAAATTTTGAAGCCTGTAACCATTGACTTTCATTTGTTTTTCCTACTGTGGAAGTGAATGGTTACAGGTTTCCAGCATTCTTCAAGATATCTTCTTTTGTGCTAAAAGTGAGTAAATTATCATTTTTAGGTGAACTATCCCTTAAAATGACATGTTTTTAAACCCATGATGATATAAGGTATCGTAAAATCAGCTGTAATATACAGAATTATTTTTTAAGTAACCTTATATCATAACGGGCTAAGCAAAATAATCTCATGTCTAAATGAAAAACAAGATCATTTAGTTTGTTTTTAATCAAAAACTTACTTAATCATCATTTCTGAAACAGCACAATGTTTCGTTCTTGTCCAGAAAATGCTTCTTGATTTAAGAACTTTTAGATATTCGGACTAAAAACGGGATACTTCGCGCAGTGTTTTCCAGCTAAAATATAAACTTAAAGTCCATTAAGGAAGGCTGAGGATGTTCTAGACCAGTATTTCTCAACCACATTTTCCGTATCTCCTTAACCAAGCACACCTGATTCATATCATCAACTCATTGGCAGAGACTGAAAATCCTGTAATGGGTGTGACGGACAAAAGAGACCTCTAAAACATGCAGTGCTGGTGGTCATCCAGGAACATGGTTGAGAAACACAGTTCTAGACGTTGCTGACGTAAATGACAGCCACCTTGTTTTAAACCAGTTTGAGTTTCTTTCTTGTGTTAGACACAAAAGAAGATATTTTGTAAAATGTTGAAAACTGTAACAAATGACTTCCATTTGTTTTTTCCTACTGTGGAAGTGAATGGTTACAGGTTTCCAGCATTCTTCAAGATATCTTCTTTCAGCTAAAACTGAGCAAATGACAATTTTTAGGTGAGTTATCCTTTTAAATTACATTTTTAACCCATTATGATTTAAGGTATCGTAAAATCAGCTGTGTATTATGAGATATTTTATGATAACATATCATAATGGGCTAATCAAAACAATCTTACGTCAAAATGAATAAAAAAACTGATTATTTTGCTTGTTTTAATCAAAAACGGACTTAATTTTGACTTAATATTTCTGAAAAAAAACAACAATATTTTGTATTTGTCTATGAAGATGCTTCTTGACTTAAGAAATTTTAGATATTTGGACTACAATGAGACATTTTGTGCTGAAATATGAACTGAAAGTCCATTGCGGAAGGCTGAGGAGGTTCTAGACCAGTGTTTCTCAACCACAGTCCTGGAGGACCACCAGCTCTGCGCATTTTCCTTAACCAAACACACCTGATTCAGATCATCAGCTCACTGGCAGAGACAGAAAGACCTGTATTGGGTGTGATAGACAAAAGAGACATCCAAAACAGCAGTGCTGGTGGTCTTCCAGGAACGTGGTTGAGAAACACTGACGTCTTGGATGCAAATGACGTCACCCTTGTTTCAAACCGGTTAAGATTTCTTTCTTGTGTTGAACACAAAAGGAGATATTTTAAAAAATGTTGAAGCCTGTAACCATTGACTTCCGTTTGCTCTTTTTACTATGGAAGTGGATGGTTACAGGTTTTCAGCATTCTTCAAAATATCCCATTTTGTGCTAAAAGTGAGCAAATTATAAATATAATTATAAAAACAAGATTGTTTTGCTTGCTTTAATCAAAAACCCACTTAATTTTGACTCATTTTTATCTAATATTTTACACTTGTCTATGAAGATGCTTCTTGATTTACGAAATTTGACATATTTAGACTAGAAGCAAGACCAAAACTCTACGCAATCAAAGCATTTTAGTGTTTTTGCGGTGAAATAAATGTAATGAATGAAAAGATGATGGATGAAATGCAGAATATTAAGGACACACAGAGCGGTAATGGTCCACCATACAGGTTGGTTTAGCTGCTCTTTCATTGTCTGGTGCAAATATGTAAACATTACTCGACGCATAGCGAACGTGTCTGGAATGTCTTAATTGCCGCATACAGTAAAACTCATTGCATTTTGATACTCGAAAACAAGCCAAAAACAAAAACAACCCCTCCCCCGATCTCATAAAACCAAATTAAAAAACCTCTACAAGGACCTACGATGTCCTGGACACTACAAACTACTAAACCTACAAGTACATCAGCACTGCATTATATCTGAGAGAGGGCGAACGTCAATTCAAAAACAGCAACTTTACCCTGTTTACAACATGAGGGAAGGAAATCCACATTTATGCTCAAATATATATACGTTCATTCAAAACCACAGATGCTAAACATTTGGCGGATGCTAAAGATAAGCACTTCTTCCCACTGAGGGCGGAGCCAAGCCGTGCTTACTTCCCTCCAAATTTGCATATCACTTTGGTCAAAAAGAAAGAAAGAAAAATCAACAAACACAAAATCTCAACACATACTGTCGTCAAGTAAAATCCTGGTTTAATCCCCAGCCTATGATTGTGAAATGCAGCCGTACGTCTCTCTCTTTTGTGTAAACATCACGACGACTTCTGCGCACGCTTAAAACAAATGCGATTGGGTTGAAAAGAGTCATTTAAATACAAATTTAAGCGTTTTAATTTGATTTAAAGAGACAGCTCACCACATTAATTATTCATTTAATTAGTCGCTCGTTTCAAACCTGTTGAACACAAAAGGAGATATTTTGAAAAATGTTGGAAGGCTGTAACCATTGACTTTCATTTGTTTTTTCTTACTATGGAAGCGAATGGTTACAGGTTTCCAGCATTCTTTAAGATATCTTCTCTCGTGCTGAAAGTGAGTGGGTTATTTTACTACATTTTACTACATTACATTTACTTTGTTTCAAACCGCTCTTTCTTGTGTTGAACATAAAAGAAGATATTTTGAAAAATGTTGGAAGCCTGTAACCAGTTTACTTCCATTTGTTGAAAGCGAATGGTTACTTGTTTCAGCATTCTTCAAAATCTCTTCTTTTGTGCTAAAAGTGAGTAGATGATCATTTTTAGGTGAATTATCCCTTTAAATAAAAGTTTTTAAACCCAGCGCTTTGGTTTGTCAATATTTAACGCGATATTAGATTTTGACAACCCAGCATTTAGAGTACAGAAACATTTAAAATAATCTTTCATCACAAAAATGATAATTTGTTTATTTACCTATGCTTATTTTAAACCTGTTTGAGTGTTTCTTGTGTTCAACACTAAAGGAGATATTTTGAAAAATGTTAAAGCCTGTAACCATTGAATTCCATTTATTTTTTTCTACTATGGAAGTGAATGGTTACAGGTTTCAGCATTCCTCAAGATATCTTCTTTCGTGCTAAAAGTGAGTAAATTATAATTTTAGGTGAACTATCCCTTTAAATTATATATTTTTTAACCCATCGGCTTGGTTTGTCAATATTTAACTGAATGTTAGATCACAACAACCTCGAATTTAGAGTATAGAAACATTTAAATTTATATTTCACCACCAAAATTTAAATGTAAGTATTTGCCCACCCTTATTCCAAACACAAAAGGAGATATTTTGAAAAAACGTAGAAGCCAGTAACCATTGACTTCCTTTTGTTGTGTTAAGCACTAAAGAAGATATTTCCAAAAATGTTGGAAGCCATTTGACTTCCATTTGTTTTTCCTAGTATAGAAGTGAATGGTTACAGGTTTCAGCATTCTTCAAAAAATCTTCTTTTGTGTTAAAAGTGAGCAAATGATAATTTTTAGGTGAACTATCCCTTTAAATAATTTTTTTTAAACCCAACGGTTTGGTTTGTCTATATTTAACCCAATGTTAGATTATAACCCAGCATTAAGAGTATAGAAAAATTAAGAAGCATCTTTCACAAGAAAAATTTTAGTTAGTTTATTTACTCACCCTTGTTTTAAATCTGCTTGAGAATTTTTCTTGTGTTGAACACAAAAGGAGATATTTTGATATTTATATGTTGAAAGCCTGTAACCATTTACTTCAATTAGTTTTTCCTACTATGGAAGTGAATGGTTACAGGTTTCCAGCATTGTTTAAGATATCTTCTTTTGTGTTAAAAGTGAGTAAATGATCATTTTTAGGTGAACTATCCCTTTAAATTACGTCTTTTTAACCCCACAGCTTGGTTTGTTGATATTTAACCAAATGTTAGATTACAACAACCCAGCATTAGAGTATAGAAACATTAAAAACCCTCTTTCACCACCAAAATTACACATCTATGTACTCGTTCTTGTTTGAGTTTCTTTCCTGCGTTGAACACAAAAGGAGATATTTTGAAAAATGTTAGAGCCTGTAACCATTGACTTCCATTCATTTTTTCTACTAAGGAAGTGAATGGTTACAGGTTTCCAGCATTCTTCAAGATATCTTCTTTTGTGTTAAAAGTGAGTAAATGATCATTTTTAGGTGAACTATCCCTTTAAATGACGTCTTTTTTAACCCAACGTTTTGGTTGGTCATTATTTAACCCAATGTTAGATTAAGACAACCCAGCATTTAAAGTATAGGAACATTTAAAATAATCTTTCACCACAAAAATTTTAATTAGTTTATTTACTCACCATTGTTTGAGTTGAACACAAAAGGAGATATTTTGAAAAATGTTAAAGCCTGTAACCATTGACGTCCATTCATTTTTTCTACTAAGGAAGTGAATGGTTACAGGTTTCCAGCAATCTTCAAGATATCTTCTTTTGTGTTAAAAGTGAGTAAATGATCATTTTTAGGTGAACTATCGCTTTAAATGAGATCTTTTTAACCCAACGTTTTGGTTTGTCATTATTTAACCCAATGTTAGATTACGACAATGCAGCATTTAGAGTATAGAAATGCTAAAAACAATCGTTTACGCGACTACTGAATATGATAACCATTTTTTAGGCAAACGCCTCAAAAAATAAGTAGACATTGTGAAACTGGAGGCACATCGTCGAACGTTAACTTCCCGTTAAAACATAGAGAGAGAGAGAATACGCGAAGCATGTTCGTCCTGAGGTAGTCTTTCAATAAAGAGACAATCTGTCCCTAACGATAGTGATCAACAATAAACCCAAGCAGTAGATCTAATCCCATCGAGTCACATCTCGCAGTTGGACTGAAGCGTGTGAAAATCCACCGCGCTTGTTGTGCATTTCCATTCGAGAAAGGAGCATGTGCACAGTGTGGATCAACATACATTCAGCTCTGTCTGGTAATAAATAGAGAGAGAGGGAAATAAAAACAACAACATCAACGCTACTCTAAACCAAATGCATAAAATAGTTTCTTGTCACATTCATGAGAGGAGGAGGAGGTACCGGAAGCCCCGCCCCCAAGGAACACCCCGCCCCCGTGCAATAGATGGGGAGGGTGTTTCTAGGAAAGGGGCGTGGCTAGTTGGCAGGAGCGGTACCCTTCGTCACGCAGGGGGAGGAGCTTGTCCTGTAGCTGCTCAGACTGGACTTACAGGAGTGCAATACTGCCTTGAAGAGCAGAGGGAGCTGCTCCAGAGGGATGTTCACCAGCTTCCCTGAAACACCAGCGCAAAACACGTCAGGTTACATTGAATTAACGTATTAAAAGGGGAGCTATTATGCAATTTTATAAGAGGTCGTGTGGCAACAGTGTGTGAATATAACCAGCTTCTAATGTTAAACATTTATTAGTTGTATTGTTTATAATCAGACGTGATAGAAACAGTCTGCAGAAACACTTTGATTGACATTCTCTCTTTGTACGTGTCATCATAGAGCGAAAGCCCCGCCCACTAGCGACCATCTCTCCCTCATTAGCATAGGACACTAGTCTTGTTTCTGAATCTGCCACTATGCTGACACACAAGCATTTCTAGCTCCGCCTTCTCTTGAAAAGAGCGCAATCTTATTTGAATTTAAAGTGACAGTCACCAAAATCACTGAAACTTCACACACACACACACACACACACACACACACACACACACACACACACACACACACTAAAGAAGATATTTTGAGGAATGCTGGTGATGGCACTCATTGACTTTCATAGAATGTGGTGTTCATGAACCCTGCTATATATATTAAGTGGCCTCAATTACTTTGTACTTGCATCAGAAAAAAAAATACAATGCACTTATAGTGTTCATATAGTATTGCTCAACACTTCTGGTGCTCTTGAAGTAGGATGTCTGGGGGTATGGCTAAGTTAAAGGTTGGGTTAAGGTTAGGGATGGGTCAACAGTGTAATTATAAAGCAGATCATCTTTTTACAATATTAATAAAATGTATGTACTGTATATAATTAGTGCATTTTGTACTGCTTGATTAATTTAAATGTAAGTATATGGTAATTAAGGCCACTCAATATAAACTTTGACTGAAACCTTTATACGTTATTGAAATAAATGAGATTTTATCCGAGCATAGAATCACCAGGAGACGACACTCTGTTGCTGTTTGGGAAACAGCAACTAGATGGCGCTAGTGTCAAGCCATTTTGGAATGAAATCCTATAGGAAAACAGCACGGATAAATAACATTAGAAAGAATGAATTAAAACATTGGGTTAAATATGAGTTAAAACGGGTACATCCCCTTTGAAAAGTAACATCTACTATGGAGATTAGTTAGTGCCATCTACTATGGAGGTCAATTGGTGCCATTCATTATGGAGGTCAATTGGTGCCATCTACAATGGAGGTCACTTGGTGCCATCCACTATGGAGTTCGATTGGTGCCGTCCACTATGGAGGTAAATTGGTTCCATCCACTATGGAGGTCAATTGGTGCCGTCCACTATGGAGGTTAAATGGTGCCGTCAACTAGGGAGGTCAATTAGTGCCGTCCACTATGGGGGTCAATTGGTGCCGTCCACTATGGAGGTCAATTGGTGCCGTCCACTATGGAGGTAAATTGGTTCCATCCACTATGGAAGTCAATTGGTGCAGTCCACTATGGAGGTCAATTGGTGCCGTCCACTATGGAGGTCAATTGGTGCCATCCACTATGGAGGTCAATTGGTGCCGTCCACTATGGAGGTTAAATGGTGCCGTCCACTAGGGAGGTCAACTAGTGCCATCCACTATGGAGGTCAATTGGTGCCGTCCACTATGGAGGTAAATTGGTTCCATCCACTATGGAAGTCAATTGGTGCAGTCCACTATGGAGGTCAATTGGTGCCATCCACTATGGAGGTCAATTGGTGCCGTCCACTATGGAGGTTAAATGGTGCCGTCCACTAGGGAGGTCAATTAGTGCCATCCACTATGGAGGTCAATTGGTGCCGTCCACTATGGAGGTAAATTGGTTCCATCCACTATGGAAGTCAATTGGTGCAGTCCACTATGGAGGTCAATTGGTGCCGTCCACTATGGAGGTCAATTGGTGCCATCTACTATGGAGATCAATGAGTGCCATCAATAGTCAATGGGAGCTTTAGTGTTAAATAAGAAAGAAACTTCTAATTTTCGGCGAGGCAGTGGCGCAGTAGGTAGTGCTGTCGCCTCACAGCAAGAAGGTCGCTGGTTCGAACCTCGGCTCAGTTGGCGTTTTTGTGTGGAGTTTGCATGTTCTCCCTGCCATCACGTGGGTTTCCTCCGGGTGCTCCGGTTTCCCCCACAGTCCAAAGACATGCGGTACAGGTGAATTGGGTAGACTAAATTATCCGTAGTGTATGAGTGTGTGTGTGGATGTTTCCCAGAGGGGAAGGGCATCCACTGCGTAAAAACTTGCTGGATAAGTTGGCGGTTCATTCCGCTGTGGTGACCCCGGATTAATAAAGAGACTAAGCCGACAAGAAAATGAATGAATGAATGAATGAACTCCTAAATTTCTAGACTCACCTGCAATGCAGCGTATCTCTGGCAGACACATCATGATCTCGGGGAAGCGTTTGGGCTGGTGAGGGTACTTGTACTCCGTGTAATCCTGACAAACGTACCAATAACGCTTGTTCAACTGCTCCAGCTGCGTCACATTGGTCAGGCCACGGATATCTGGACAAATATACAGAAATATCCAGTCAGATGCATGACCAGCTGCTTTTCTACTGACATCACAGACCTACAGAGTTTAGTGAACTGATGACCTTCACAGCCAATCACAGTCATTTCTGTTGAGCACGTGAACACAATGGCAAATCAGCGCTGTTTAAGAACGAGCTCGGCAGTGCTCAAACGTTAGCATAAAATGGACATTATTAAAACTTCAGTACAGATTGGTAGCAAATTCCAGTATCGGGACAACCGAGTTACACTGCAAAAAATGCTTTTCTGACTTAATTTCTATCTTCTTTTTAGTCCAAATATCTATCTTTGAATCAAGAAGCATATTCTAGACACACAGTAAATATTGTGCCATATTGAAGTGAGTTTTTCCTTAAAACAGGCAAAATAATCTGCCAACCGGGTTAAAAAAATAAACTTGTTTTTGGTTTGGAGTAAGATTACTTTGCTAACCACATTGTCAGATTATTTAGCTTGTTTTAAGGAGAAAACGCACCTAATTTTGACTCATAATGGTGCTTTAGCTGTATAGGGATGTACAGTAGATGCAGATGTGTGTGTGTTTTACCTTGGTTAAGGAAGTTGATGGCCTTCATGCAGGCGTACTCCTCATTGCTGACCTTCAGCTGGTGAAACTTGCGGAAGAGATAGATCAGCTTCTCCATCACCTCCATCCCATCCTCACTGAAACTACACACACACGCACACACACACGATCAGCAACACCACTCACACTAACTTAACTTACAGTACATATGAAATCCAAACTAACCATATTGATGTTGTTAGCCCACGTTGCTAGTTTTGTGGTGAACAATTCATCTGTGCATGTCATTACGAAAATAGTTTGCCTTTGTAATGTAAAATCAAAGTCTGAAATGCGCTTCCTGTTTGTGTTCAGTAACATCCTCAGATTAGGTCTGTCTGAGGTAACATACTTAACCACCACATCCCAAAGCTGCTCTATTGGATTGAGCTCTGGTGACTGTGGAGGCCATCTGAGTACAGTGAACTCATCGTCATGTTCAAGAAACCAGCCTGAGATAATTGAGCTTTATGACATGGTGTTATCCTGCTGGAAGTAGCCATCAGAAGATGGAGACACTGTGCTCATAAAGGGATGGACATGGTCAGCAGCAATACTCAGGTAGGCTGTGGCGTTGACACCATACTCAATTGGTACTAATTGACCCATTCTCCTCTGACCTCTGTCATCAACAAGGCATTTGCACCCACAAAACTGCCGCTCACTGGATATTTCCTCTTTTTCAATTCTCTGTAAACCCTAGAGATGGTTGTGCATGAAAATCCCAGTAGATCAGCAGTTTCTGAAATACTCAGAGAAGTCCGTGCGGCACCAAAAGTCACTTAAATCCCATTCTGATGCACACTTTTAACTGCAGCAGATCATCTTGACCATGTCTACATGCCTAAATGCATTGAGCTGCTGCCATGTGATTGGCTGATTAAGAATTTGGGTTAACGAGCAGTTGGGCAGGTGTACCTAATAAAGTGGCCGGTCAGCGCATATATGATTTTTATTTGATATATGATGTATTATGTGTTGTAAAAATAAATACAAGAGTTCAATTTAAAAAAGAAAACCTTATGTTAGAACAGTTATATTTATATTACATATTAACTACATAAACATGACGTTTTACTAGTGTATATGCAGGTATTTTCTTGAGTGAGGCTTTTTCCTTGTAAGAGTGTTTATTAAACCTGTTTCTGAGAATATTTAGTCTTATCATCTGACCAAATTCATGCATGCGTTATCTGGCTATATATACAATATGTGTACATCCTGTTAGCCATGATAACAGCGCTCACAAGCTTAATTTATGTTCCTGAGATGCTAATAAGAGCATGTTTGAGTGGGAGAGCAGATGAAGCGTGAGACGTGTCCTGTGTTAAATCAGTCCGGTGTAAATCTGAGGTAGTATGTTCAGCAAATGCCCTCCTCTGTTGAGCTGTTTCTGCTTTATTGAGTGTCGGGTCAGGACATCAGTGTTCATCTGACCGGATAAAAGCGGATGCTTCTCCGCTTCACACTTCACGCCCTGAGCTTCTGCCCCGAACACAACAAGACATCCACGTAGCAGATCAAGAGGAGGAGGAACAGAGGTGAGAGGATCACACACACACACACTTACACACCCATCATGCCAGTGCTAGTAATACACTGTACAGTAGAGTGTTAACACAGTAGAGCTGCACAATTAATCGTAAAAAGATGGCGATCTCGATTCGACCCCCTAGACCAGGGGTTCTCAAACTTTTCAGCCCGGGACCCCCAAAATAACAATGCCAATGACTCGCGACCCCCACTACTTTCGTAAGTGGTTATAATCATACAAATGTTGCACACAACACTCACACAAACCAATCAGCCTACATAAACACAAGCATATTGACAACACAAAAAAGTGCAACAGTCCCATATCATTTTTATTATGATTATTTTATGTTTACCTCATCTAATTAGACTGGTGGGCACAATATTTAAGTTACATCCCAAGTCTTTTCTTGGTTTAATTTTGGAGACTGCCACTTACACATCATACTCCATGTTTAGTGTCCTGTATGTATTTTAAATGTACGCGAGTGCTGTAACGGTGTCAGAAAGTTTAGCTAGTGCTGTAGAATCTGGTGCACTGACGCTATTGCTTTGTCATTGCTTTGTCATTAATCTAATGTAAAAACCCTAAGGGTTGCAATCAATGTAAAAAAAAAATAATAATAATAATAAAAAAAATAAAAAAAACAAAGGCTGATGGCATTTTGTTTGGATACTGTATTTTTTTATGTAACTATTTTTTTATCTTCTGTAGGTTATGGATTAACAATGGTAATCATAAAAGTTTATTCAAATTTTTGTAAATCACCAAGCGACCCCCTCTCATTGTCCCGCGACCCCCAAGGGGGTCCCGACCCCCACTTTGAGAACCACTGCCCTAGACGATCTTAATCCAGCATTTCTACGATTCTGCCAATCATATTATTAAGTTCAGGAGAGAGAGAAGCAAAGGCGGCTGCACGAGTCTTTTCATTGCTTCACATATGTTTCTCAGCGACATGGATCGCTCCAAATGATGTTGAAAAAGAGTCACATACTGTATTTCTAAGGTATAATTCACCCCCAAAATGTCATTTCTGTCTTCATATAAAGGGCCATGAAACCCCCTCGTTTCAGCAGGGTGTTTTCACACCTCTACTTTGGAAAAAGTCAGAAAAGTGGGCGTGTCCAGCTTTGTTTAGGGGGGAGTGTCGGAGGAAGAAAAGAGGCTTGGTGTGGAAGTGTCTATTTGGGCACGCTGAGTTTCAGAGTCAAAACACACACACAGGGGACAATGTGAATGTGTTTACATGGACATCTGTAGTCGAATTATTTGCCAAATTATTAAATGTTGGACTTTAACTGCAGTTTGGCTCTTTCATTCAGGGAATTCATTCATGTCCCTCCCGACAAACGTGATATTTGATTCGAGGAGCTGCTCTAAGCGTGTATTTTTCATGCAGTGTTTGATGCCGCACGGCGAATGAGAGAAAAAAAACTCAGCATTTCCCGGAAACTTAGATGCACACAGCAGGTAGCATCAGAAAGCCGCGTGTGTTATTCCGGTCACAAAATCCAACACGAGGTTATAGTTTGGTTGTAACTGTTAGTGCTAACTTGTTTACACTCGGTGCAATAGTTTGTTTGATACGAATAAAATACGAACTGAATAAACAAAGAGCACTGGTCGCTCACTTACCAAATCTGTAGAGACAGGACAATCACCAGCAACTAGAGCCGCGTCTTTATTAAGAGGAGACTACAAGCGAATCCGGATCTCAGCGTTTGCAGATGAGAACAGCTCTCAGGTAAACAATGTTCCTCCTTAGACACGTAAGTTATTGTTGTCGAGCGTCGCGTACACTGTTAATCCACACGTGACTTCAGCTGAGCTCTCACAGAGAGAAAATGAAAACGAAACTTCACTGCAGCAAACTATAAAAGCAACACTTCACGCTTGTTTTGCCAACACAACGTGGCGTCTCTGCCGTCTAAACACTGTGACAGTAATGAATATTAATGAAGTTGCACAATAGAGCGCGCTGATTGGTTTGAACCAAGCCTTACTCATGCATTAATGCAGCACACTGTAAGACGTAATAAGACACACTCTGGCACAGGCGTCCAGTCTGCACGCTGGAATACACGCTATTATCTCATGGCCGTGACGCAGCTTCAAAAATTTGTTTCAAACCGGAAGTACGAATTTGCTTGAAATAACGCAAAAACAACCAATTTACACTTTTTAGTGAAATATAGGTGTCCTAATAGTGTTTTTAGCAGTGTGGGACACATATACCACTGTCAACAGCTCAACACATGTGTGCTCTGGTGTTTCGTGACCCTTAATGATGTATTCGTGGCCGGGAAATCACACGTGACGTGAGTTGCTGACTGAGAGAGCGGGTGTGCGCGCTACTTGATAGAAGAGCGGGTCTACTTTAGTGAACAGAACCTGCGCAGGCTTCCAGTAACATGTAATACAGTAGTAAATAATATTCAGATTGTGGCACAGAGTGATCGTTTGGGAGCCGCGTGTGAAGTATGAACAGCACTTAGCAGTCAGAAAGTGTGCACGTCATTTAAATGATCATATCGCATTTTTGAGTTATGATTATGACAAGCATTTGATGTTTTTCATAGCGAACAGAGTTGTGCATGAAAATGAATGTCTACAGTATCAGTATAACTACTCTAGCCTATATATTGTTGAATTTAATCTGATAATGACAAACGATTTTACCAGTGAATAAAATGATCTTATAATGTTGTCAACGATATATACTTGCAACATAATAATTAAACCTCGGAATTATTATAAGTAGAATAGAATTATTTATAGAAACCAGTAGACCTACACATAATATTATTACTGTTGTTTTACCATATGTTTGAGAAAAAATAATGATATATCTACAGAATCTTGAGAGAATCGTGATCTTTATTTTAAGCAAATAAAAAATCATGATTCTCATTTTAGCCAGAATCGTGCAGCTCTATAACACAGAAGTATTAGCCCCCTTGTATTTTTTTTTTACCCTTAATTTCTGTTTGACAGAACATTTCTGCACATAATAGTTTTAATAACTCATGTCTAATCACTGATTTCTTTTCTCTTTGTCATGATGACCACATCATATTAGACTAGATATTCTTAAAGACACTAGTATTCAGCTTAAAGTAACATTTAAAGGCTTCACTAGGGTAATTAGGGTAAAGTTAGAGTAATTAGGCGAGTTATTGTATAATAATGTTTTTTTCTGTAGACTATCTGGGGAAAAAATTGCTTTAAGAGGCTAATAATATTGTCCTTAAAATGGCTTTTTAAAAATCAAAAACTGCTTTTATTCTAGCCGAAATAAAACAAATAAGACTTTCTCCAGAAGAAAAAATATTATCAGACATACTCTGAAAATTTTCTTGCTCTGTTACACATCATTTGGAAAATATTTAAAAAAGAAGAAAAAAATCAAATAATTCTGACTTTAACTGTATCGATATCCTCACCTGTGCAGCTCGTCGTCTGACGGTGTGTATTTGTGTGTGACGTTGGCCAGGTCTCCGAGCACCTGCGCGCTGTAGACGGTCAGACAGGCCAGCAGGATGAGCTCCTGCCAGGTGGCGCTCAGGAGTCGAGTGTAGTCCTCGATGGAGAGATCGCAGAAGAACGGCAGCTTCTTTATCCAGGAGATCTGCCTGAAGAGCAGCTCATCGGCCAGACGACACAGCAGAGCAAACAACTCCACCTGAGTCACTCGATACCTGCGAGACACACACACACACACACACACACACACACACACACACACACACGGTTTTATCAATGGTGTTTACATTACAAGTTTCTTCTTCACACTCAACCATCAGAAAACATCTTCCTCTATATTGGAGGTGTAGAGCAAGGGGAGATGTAGTGATGTAGTGTAGGCGGTGAGATGTTAGAGATGGAGTTATGTTCGATTTTTTGCCATTTTTAACCTGCCGAATTAGGCTCACACGATTAATCGCCTTTAAACCGAAATGCGATTATTGCACTGTCAAATAATGTAACAAGCATATAGTTTGTAAGCACATGATCCTGAACAATGTGAAAACATGTAACACAATCTAAATGTAAAGGTTTGAATATATTTATTTACAATTCGTTTAACTGAATTTGAAATGTTTCCCAGTGATGGGTTGCAGCTGGAAGGGCATCCGCTGGGTAAAACATGTGCTGGATAAGTTGGCGGTTCATTCCACAGTGGGATAAAGGGACTAAGCTGAAAAAAAATGAATGAATGAATGAATTTAAAATGGTGTCACAGTGGCGCAGTGGGTAGCACGATCACCTTACAACAAGAAGGTCACTGGTTCGAGCCTCAGCTAGGTCAGTTGGCCTTTCTGTGTGGAGTTCTCCCCGTGTTGGCGTTGATTTCCTCCAGGTGCCCCCCCACAAGCGGAACAGGTGAATTGGATAAGCTAAATTGTCCGTAGTGTATGTGTGTGATTGAGTATGTATGGATGTTTCCCAGTGTTGGGTTGCAGCTGGAAGGGCACCCGCTGCGTAAAACAAATGCTGTGTGGGAAAATGAGATGCTAGGGTGCCACTAGGGGGGCGCTGCTCTGACTTGCCCTTCCTGGAGCTTCCAAACCATACTTATTAAGTTGGCGGTTCATTCTGCTGTGGCGACCCCAGATTAATAAAGGGAGTAAGCCGAAAGGAATTGAATGAATGAATTTAAAAAGGCGTCACGATGGCGCAGTGGGTAGCACGATTGCCTTACAGCAAGAAGGTCACTGGTTCGAGTCTCAGCTGGATCAGTAGGCATTTCTGTGTGGAGTTCTCCCCTTGTTGGCGTGGGATTTCTCCAGGTTTCCTCCGGGTGCTCTGGTTTCCCCCCACATACGGAACAGGTGAATTGGATAACCTAAATTGTCCGTAGTGTATGAGTGTGTGTGAATGAGTGTGTATGGATGTCTCCCAGTGTTGGGTTGCAGCTGGAAAGGCATCCGCTGCGTAAAACATATGCTGGATAAGTTGGCGGTTCATTCCACTGTGGCGACCCCCGATTAATAAAGGAACCGAAAAATAAAATTGATTGAATGAATTTAAAATAGGGTCTCAGTGGTATTGCCTCACAGCAAGAAGGTTGCTGGTTCAAGTCCCGGCTGGGGCAGTCTGCATTTCTATTTTCAGTATTTTTATTATGTCTTTCCAGATTATATACAAACATATAAACGTACATGAAAAATAGAAGTCCCTTCAGCAAAGAGATGATATCAAATATAAAGCAACAACAAAAACCCCTTCTACCCCCTTCTAAGCACCATCCCTCCCATATCCCACGCCTCCCTGTTTCCTGATGCATTCAATAAGTATGCAAAGATAAAATAAAGCACTTACGCAGCTTTTTACACCACACCCAATTCAGTTTTTATTGTTGATATTTGACGCCAGATAATCAGGAAGTGATGATTGTGACTCATTAGATGGAAACGCTGCTTTATTCTCATCGTCTTTAATGCGATATTACATTTTATTTGCATCTTTGGATGGAAACATGGCTAGTGATAGTGAATGCGCAGTTTACCCGTCCTCGATGAGCATGGGTGTGCCCAGGGGCGCCAGATCCTCTGCTGCCACCAGCTGGCTGATGAGCGTGTGGCTCTGCGGGTACAGACTCCGCGGCTGCGCTGCGTATCCGAACAGATGAGGCAGGAACTGGTAGTGTTGAGCCATAGCGTTGCCGATATACTGCTCCCTCAGAGCCGTGGTGTAGCCGTTCAGCTCCACAGAGCGACTGCGTGCACAACAAACAAAAGAAACACAATTCACAATACACACTAGGCATGGGCGCTATACGATTCTGACAGTATGATAACCTAATGATACTGATGCAGATGACTTGATACTATTAGATCGACTGGGATGATGTTGTAACACAGTGCATCTGCATATTATCTAATAAACCCTCTACAGGCATAGATGAATACAGGACAGATATAGATACCATTGAAATAAACAGTGTAATATCGTTTTCCGTCTATTTATGTACAGTAATTGTCTAATAAAAATAATTAAATACAATTAATCATTATTAAAGTTACAAAATGCTTATGTCTGAATGCTTATTATGCAATCACAGGCCTCAAAAACACATGCAATTATAATATATACGTAACACTGCATACCCTGTCTATTGCGAATACATGATCACATTGCGATATCGATCCTGAAACCATATATTGTGCAGCCCTAATAGGTTTTATGGCATGTCGTGACACGTGTTATGTTGTTAGGATGTGGTGTCGGCGTTGTTTGTGTTGTAGTAAGCATCACTCACTTGGATGACAGTGTGGACACGGGCGACGGCTGATTCCCATCCGAGACTCCATTGCCTGGTGAACTGTGGTCGCTGTCGCCGTTGTTTCCCCATGTGTGCTCCGGCATGTTGGCTTCATCCTTAAACTCCTGTCCGGACATAATCCGCTCGATCTCTTCATCGGAAATCTGCACACAAAAAATAAATAAATAAATAAAAAACAAACAAACAATGATGGACACATATATAGCGCTAAATAGTCTATATTTAGTCTATTAGATTTTCACTGACAGCTCAAATTTAGCCATATTTTAGCCATTTTCAGACGTCTATTAGACATCTATCAGACATCTTTTAAACATAAAAAATAAGATCAGCCTTTATAAGTGCTTTGTACTTCCAAACACAAACACAATAAATCAGGCTGAAGCAAGCAAAACACGTCTAGTTTAAAATTATTCTTATACGTCTATTCGATTTTCACTGACAGACCAAATTGAGCCTTGTTTAGACGTTTATTAGACATCTATCAGAGATCTTTTAAACATAAAAACAAGCTCTGTCTTTATACCCACATTGTACCATCAAACGCAAACACAAAAAAAAGCAAGCCAAACACATCTATTTATTCTATTTATTATGTCTATTAGATTTTCACTGACAGACCAAATTTAGTCTTGTTTTAGCCAAGCTGTCTATCTTTAGACGTCTATTAGACATCTATTAGACATCTTTTAAACATAAAAAACAAGCTCAGCCTTTATATCTGCTTTGTCCCATGGGCTATACATATTTTATACATACGTTTATTAGATTTTCATTGACAGCACAATTTTTGCCTTGTTTTAGCTATGCTTAGACATCTATTAGACATCTATCAGACATATTTTAAACATAAACAACAGCTCAGCTCTTATTTCCAGGGTATACCATCTAAAGCAAGGCTAAAGCAAGCCAAACACCAGTCTAAATAGTCTTGTTTTCGGGTAATCATTTACGTCTATTAGATTTTCATCAACAACCCAAATTGAGCCTTGTTTAGACGTTTATTAGACATCTATCAGACATCTTTTAAACATAAAAAACAAGCTCAGACAATATATCTGCTTTGTCCCGTGGGCTATACATATTTTATACATACGTTTATTACATTTTCATTGACAGCACAAATTTAGCCTTGTTTTAGCTATGTTTAGACGTCTATTAGACATCTATCAGACATCTTTTAAACATAAAAACAAGTCAACACTGTCAAACGCAAACCCAAAAAAACAGACTAAAGCAAGCCAAACACATCTATTTATTCTATTTATTATATGTATATTAGATTTCACTGACAGACCAAATTTAGCATTGTTTTAACCAAACTGTCTATGTTTAGATGTCTATTAGACATCTATCAGACATCTTTTGATGGTAAAACTGCACCGTCAAACACAAGAAATCAAGATAAACCAACACAAATGCTTCCATAAATGCATAGCAGAGTCTGTTTTTGGGCTTTTCTTTTTAGTCTTTTAGATTTTCACTGACAGCTCAAATTTAGCCACATTTTAGCCATGTTTAGACGTCTATTAGACATTTATCAGACAGCTTTAAACATAAAAACAAGCTCAGTCTTTATATCCACATTGTACCGTCTGTCACAAACACAAGAAATCAGGCTTAAGCAAGTCAAATGCTTCCATACACCAACACTAAATAGTCTATTTTTGGCCTATTCTTAATTGTCTATTACATTTTCCTGACAGCTCATATTTTTAGCCACATTTTAGCCATGTTCAGACGTCTATTAGACAAAGAAAAAAAAACAAGAAAAAAAAAAAAACAAGCTTAGTCTTTCTAGTCTTAGTCTTTCATTTTGTGCCCCAAATTTAGCCAAGGTGTCTTTGTTTAGACGTCTATTAGACATATTTTAAACATAAATTATGCTTTCTGAAATATACAGTCGGATTGAGGCTAACTACAATCAAACTGGTGCCATACAAAACCAGATTGGAACATCCCTATTAATCAAAATATAGCCAAAATCTCGCAAAGAGTCTGTGGATGATACATGTTCAGCAGAGCAAACACTTCCGCACACCAACACCGGCCTAAATAGTCTATTTTTGGGGCATTCATTTACGTCTATTAGATTTTCATTAACATCCCAACTTGAGCCATGTTTAGACGTTTATTAGACATCTATCAGACATCAGACACAAGAAATCAAGCTAGACCAACACAAATGCTTCCATACATGCACCACATAGTCTATTTTTGGGCTATTCTTATACGTCTATTAGATTTTCACTGACAGCCCAAATTTAGCCATATTTTAGCCATGTTTAGACATCTATTAGACATCTATCAGACATCTTTTAAACATAAAAACAAGCTCAGCCTTTATATCCATACCTTCAAACACAAGCACCCCAAATTTAGACTTGTTTTAGCCGAGGTGTCTATGTGTAGACGTCTATTAGACATCTTTTAAACATTAAAAAATGCTTGCTGGAATATACATTCGGTTTGAGGCTGACTTGAATCAAATTGTTGCCACAGAAAACCAGATTGGGACATCCCTATTAATCAAGAACCCTAAAAATGCAGCTAATATCTCACAAAGAGTGCGAATGAGTCTGTGGATAACATATGTTCATCGCAAGAGAGCACAAGACTTCCTTACACCGACACACACACACATACACAAAGCACTTATTCTCGCTCTCAGCGGCAACAAGACAGAAAGAGACAAACCAGCGCTCCAGTCAAGGCCGTGCACTAAAAACATTCCCCTTTTAATTCCAGCGCCGGGTTCAAGCCATCGTTAACAGTGCTTTATTTTGTCTGAGGTGAAGCAACCTGCCATTGTGTGCCGCCGAGGCAATTAGGACAAGTCAATACGCCGGCGGTTTCTAGTGCCGGGATCAGGTGCAAACAAGAGAGCTACACGGACTAACAAGATCTGCCTTTATATCTGCTTTGTCCTGTCAAACACAAACACAAGAAATCAGGCTGAAGCAAGCTCTAAATAGTCTAGTTTTGGGCTATTCTTATACGTCTATTACATTTTCATTAACAGTCCAAATTTAGCCTTGTTTTAGCCATGTTTAGACATCTATCAGACATTTTTAATACATAAAATAACAGCCTTTATATCTGCTTTGACTCGTCAAACACAAACACAAAACAATCAGGCTAAAGCAAGTCAAATTCTTCCACACACCAACACTGTGCTAAATAGTCCATTTTTGGGCTATTTTTATACGTCTATTAGATTTTCAGTGACAGCCCAAATTTTAGACATGTTTAGACGTCTATTAGACATATATCAGACATCTTTTAAACAAAGAAACAAGCTCTGCCTTTATATATGCTTTGTACCTTGTCTGCTCTGTTAGCCTTGTTTTAGCCATATTTAGACGTCTATTAGACATCTATCAGACATCATCTACACCTAAAAGCAGCTTTCATATCCACTTTGTCCAGTCAAACACAAACCCAAAAAATTAGGCTAAAAGCTAAACACTTCCATACACCAACACCGCGGTAAAATAGTTTATTTTTGGGCTATTCTTAGATGTCTATTAGATTTTCATTAACAGTAGATATTTTAGACATCTATTAGACATCTATCAGACATCTTTTAAACATAAAAAAATTTGTCCTTATATCTGTGTTGTATTTTGTCTGCTTTATTAGCATTGTTTTAGCCATATTTAGACGTCTATTAGACATCTATCAGACATCTTCTACACCTAAAAACAGCTTTTATATTCTCTTTGTCCAGTCAAACACAAACCCAAGAAATTAGGCTAAAAGCTAAATGCTTCCATACACCAACACCGCGCTAAATTGTCTATTTTTGGGCTATTCTTATACTTCTATTAGATTTTAGTTGACAGTCCGTATTTTAGACGTCTATCAGACATCTTTTAAACATTAAAAACAAGCTCTGCCTTTATATATGCTTTGTACCTCGTCTGCTTTGTTAGTCTTGTTTAAGCCATGTTTGACCTTCTATTAGACATCTATCAGACATCATCTACACATAAAAAACAGCTTTCATATCCACTTTGTCCTGTCAAACACAAAAACAAGAAATCAGGCGAAAGCAAGCCAAACACTCCCATTCACCAACACTATGCTAAATAGTCTATTTGTGGGCTATTCTTAGATGTCTATTAGATTTTCATTAACAGTACAAATTTTAGACGTCTATTAGACATCTATCACACATCTTTTAAAAATAAAAAACTAGATCTGTCTTTATATCTGCTTTGTACCTTGTCTGCCTTGTTAGCCTTGTTTTAGCCACATTTAGATGTCTATTAGACATCCATCAGACATCTTCTACACATTAAAAACAGCCTTTATATCCGCTTTGTCCAGTCAAAGACAAAAACAAGAATTTAGGCGAAAGCAAGCCAAACACTCCCATTCACCAACACTATGCTAAATAGTCTATTTTTGGGCTATTCTTATACGTCTATTAGATTTTTGCTGACAGTCTGAAATTTAGACGTCTTTTAGACATCTATCAGACATCTTTTAAACATAAAAAAAACAAGATCTGCCTTTATATTTGTTTTGTACCTTGTCAGCTATTTTATCCTTGTTTTATCAATGTTTAGATTAGACATCTATCAGACATATTTTACGCATTAAAATGCCATTATATCTGCTTTCACTCGTCAAACAAACACAAGAAATCAGGCTAAAGCAAGCCATATGCTTCCATTCACCAACACCGCACTAAATAGTCTATTTTGGGGCTATTCTTGGATGTCTATTATATTTTCATTAACAGTATGAATTTTAGATGTCTATTAGACATCTATCAGACATCTTTTTAACACAAAAAAACTAGCTCTGTCTTTATATCTGCTTTGTACCTTGTCTGCTATATATTTAGTCATGTTTAGGCGTCTATTAGACATCTATCAGACATCTTCTACACATAAAAAACAGCTTTGTACATCAAGCACAAGCAATCAGGCTAAAGCAAACAGGCTAAACGCTTCCATACACCAACACAGTGATAAATAGTCTATTTATGGGCTATTCTTAGACGTCTATTAGATTTTCACTGACAGTCCGAATTGTAAACGTCTGTTAGACGTCTATCAGACATCTTTTAAACCTAAAAAACAAGCTCTGCCTTTATATCCACACAAGAAATCAGGCTACAGCAAGGCAAATGCTTCCACACACCAACACTGCACTATATAGAGCCGTACACTAGATAATCACATTCTAAACGTCTGAAAAACCATATCAAAGGGCAACGTTTGATTATTAAGAGTGCATATTTGCTGGTTTTGAGAGAAAATTTGTCGAACACAATGATTTTATGAGGTCGGCGGATGATGAATGAGCAGAGAATTCTGGCCTTGACGACTAATGAAATTAACATCTTCAGAGGTCACTTCATCTGCATCTCTATTTATGCTGAAATAAAGATGTATTGCGCTTGTTTTGATTGGCGCCCAAATTAATCAGCTCTATTTCCTCTATTGATGCATGGAGAGGCCAAACTTGAGCTGAATGGCAGTAATGGGAGTAATTAATATGCGTCTTAATGAAGTAAAGAGTATGTATGGACAAGGATCAGGGATGCTGAATGAGGGGTTATGGGTAATACCTGTACAGGGCCGATGCTTTTGTTTCTTCCTCCCGGCATGCCATCTTCTCGGATAGCTGAAGAAAAAAAACACAATCGGAAAATAAACTTAGTGTTAATTTGAAAAGAATTTTACCTTCGAAATCCTGAAATGCTTCGCCTCTTTTCAGCATTCCTATGGAAATCGTGCACAAAGAGGTCTGTAGGGTGATTTAGATGTTGTGAGGGAAAATACTTTTAAACAAGGCAAAGTTTGGAGAGACAGGGTGAAAATAATGATGTTTTGAAAGGTGGTTTGGGTAAAGATGCTATAAAGACACTGTATTTGGTATGCATTGAGGATTATGAGTCTCTAATATTGATGCTTTGAGTCAGTGAAGTAAATTTGTACCCACAGAGGTCATGCAGTATAATTATTTATCCACAAATTAGCTTAGTTTTGTCTTTAAACCTCGGGAAGTTTATTGCAACATTATATTGAAAAGAGGTCAGTTATTAAATAATAATAACAATAATAATAATAATAATAAACTTTATTTGTATAGCACTTTTCCAACATACATGCAACTCAAAGTGCCTCACAAACAACAACAAAAGCATTAAAATAGACCACAAAAACTTATCACATATACTGAAATAAAAACATTCTTGTACACAAAATGTAAGTATATATTCACATGATCACACACACAATAGTCCTTACATATGCAGGCACACACCATACATTACATACATAAACCTACAAAAAAATAGATAAAATGCGTACACCTAACAGACTTGTTTAATCATACGCAATTTTAAAAAGATGTGTCTTAACACGCTTTTTAAAAACATGAATACTTGGTGATTCTTTCACTTCAAGGGGGAGACAGTTCCAAATTTTTGGAGCATAATGGCTAAAAGAAGTGCCACCAGATCGCCTCAGATTTACAGGGTAAAATTCTAAAAGTCCAGCTCTAGAAGAGCGTAGAAAACGGTTTGGATTATATTTTGTTAAACAGTCGGAAATGTAGGAAGGTGTCATATTGTGTAGTGCTTTAAAAACTAATAAAAGAATCTTAAAATCTATCCTTTGGTGCACAGGCAACCAGTGTAATTCTATTAATACTGGTGTAATGTGTTCTCGTTTCTTCAATTTCATTAAAACTCTGGCTGCTGCATTTTGTATCAATTGCAACTTCATTGTAGAACCCTTAGGTAGACCAGTATAGATAGAATTGCAATAATCAAGCCGAGAGAAAATAAAAGCATGAATTAATTTCTTGGCATCATCAAAAGATAGGAAAGAACGAATTTTGGCAACATTTCGTAAATGATAAAAACATGTTTTTGTAACTTGATTAATATGAGATTTAAAACTAAGATCACAATCGAAAATAACACCCAGGTTCTTTAATTCTTTTTTTGATTGTAAACCTAAAGAACACAGTTCTGCTTCAATCCTCTCTCGCTCAGGTTTTTTGCCCACAATTAGAATTTCTGTTTTATCTTTATTCAACTTTAAAAAATTTGCAGTCATCCATTGCACAATATTGGACATGCAGTTGGACAAATTTTCCAATGCAGTTGTGTCTCTTGGCTCAACAGAAATATATAATTGTATGTCATCAGCATAAAGATGATAATTCATGCCATATTTCTGAATTATACTACCTAAAGGAAGTATATATAATAAAAATAGACTTGGGCCTAGGATAGATCCCTGAGGAACACCATATAATATATTGTGTTCTTGCGATGTATATTCATCTATATTTACTAAGAATGTCCTTTCTGTGACATATGTATTGAACCAATTTAAAACTATCCCAGAGAGACCTACAAGTTTTTCCAGTCTGTTAATCAAAATGCAATGATCAACCGTGTCGAATGCTGCACTTAAATCTAGAAGAATTAAAACTGATGCATTACCTTTATCTATGTTTAAGCGCATATCATTAACTACTTTCAATAATGCTGTTTCTGTACTATGACCTTTTCTAAAACCTGACTGATATTTTTCCCAAATTTTATGCTCATCTAAAAATTGATTGAGCTGTAGCAATACAACTTTTTCTAAAATCTTACTAAAAAATGTAACATTAGAAATTGGTCTGTAATTATTTAAAACTGTGGAGTCCAAATTTGTTTTTTTTAAAAGTGGCTTTACCACAGCTTTTTTAAAAGCATTAGGAAAAATTCCTGTCATTAATGAATCATTTACTATGTCAAGGACATAGTCAATCAAGCAATTTGAAACCTTTTTAAAAAATTCAGTTGGAATAGGGTCAAGACAGCTAGAAGAGGACTTTAATTGAGATATGATTTGGATAATATTTTCTTTACTAATAACAATAATAATAGTAATATATTATTAAAAATAATAATAATAGCAATAGTAATAAAGTCATAATAATAATAATAATAGTAATATAGTAGTAATAATAATAATAATAATAGTAATAGTAATATATTATTAATAATAATAATAATAATAATAATAATAATAATAATAGTAATAGCAATAGTAATAAAGTAATAATAATAATAATAATAATAATAGTAATATAGTAATAATAATAATAATAATAATAATAATAGTAATAGTAATATAGTAATAATAATAATAATAATAATATAGTATTAATAATAATAATAATAGTAATAATAATAATAATAATAATAATAATAATTATTATTATTATTATTATAACAGGGTGAAGCAGTGGCGCAGTAGGTAGTGCTGTTGCCTCACAGCAAGAAGGTCGCTGGTTCGAGACTTGGCTGGGTCAGTTGGCGTTTCTGTGTGGAGTTTGTAATAATAATAATAATAGTAATAAAAATAATAGTAATAATAATAATTATAAAAATAATATTAATAGCAATAATAATAATAATAATAATAATAATAATAGCAATAATAATAATAGTAATAATAATAATAATAATAATAGTAATAATAATAATAATAATAATAATAATAATAATAATACCTATTCACACACTAGTAATAATTATCATTTGGTTCATTGGCTTACCTTATTACAGGTAAAAAAATATATAAAATAAAAAAATATCATTATTAAAGGTCTATGAATACTTATTATTATTTTTTATTATTATTATTATTTTTATTATTATTATTATTACTATTACTATTATTATTAATAATAATTTTTGGGGTAAAATTGCTGTCGCCTCACAGCAAGAAGGTTGCTGGTTCGAGCCTTGGCTGGGTCAGTTGGCGTTTCTGTGTGGAGTTTGCATGTTCTCCCCGTGTTGGCATAGGTTTCCTCCGGGTACTCCAGTTAATCCCACAAGTCCAAACACATGCAGTAAAGATCAATTGGATGAGATAAAAATTGTTCATAGTGAGAATGAGTGTATATGGGTGTTTCCCAGTGATAGGTTGCAGCTGAATAATATCTCTAAAGTGCACTTAAAGCAGACACTTCCATGGCGAAGTACATTTTAAATCTTTGTTTTAACATGTAGTCGTGTTTTGTAAGTTCCCTTATTTTATAAGAGCTAACAATCTTAATTTAACACATGTAAAATCCCTTGACCATGATTTTTACGCCCTTGGTTTAAGTAGAACATGAGCATTCTGTCATCATTCACTCATTAATCTATGCATTTAATATTTTTAAAATATATTCATGTTTAACTTTCCAATTAGAGTACTTCATTACAGCAGGACAAATGATTATTAAAAAGGCCTTAAGTCTCATGCAAAATAACTAAAATACGATGAATGATGTCGTCATGACAAAAGAGAAAAGTTATTATTTATTAAAAATATTTTGTGTAAAAAATGTGTTGGAAAAAAAAACTAAAGTGGAGTTGGGAAATATTTGAAAAATATAATCAAATCTGAGAGGAGGGCTGATAATATCTAGTGATGTGCATTACTGCAGTGTCCACTAGAGGGCGGCGCTGATCATGGATTCGCCCTGCTGGATAAACCAGCTCATACCAGTTCATCCTGTGCGTTGGTAACCAGATCAGCCTCCCAACCAGCTAAACCAGCCAGAACCAGCCTGAACCGTGTGCATTTCAGCTTTTAATCAGCAATGACTTACTGACGTTGCTTGGACTTAAGGCCTGCTGTCATTACAGTAATAGTGATGTCTGTAGTGTGTTTAATCACTGCAGTTTTGCTGTCTGTCTCTTTAAAAGTCCTGTGTTGTGCTTTGAAACGTGGATTTTTTTTCTTCTTCTCAAATGTTTGATGTAATAGTGCTGAGCGAAAATACACAGTATTTCCTCAAATATTTTTTCTTCTGGGGAAAGTCTGATTTGTTTTATATCAGCTTGAATAAAAGCAGTTTTTAATAGTTTTAAACTCATTTTAAGGTCAATATTATTAGCCCCCTTCAGCAATATTAGTGTTGGATTGTCTCCAGAACAAACCACTGTTATACAATGACTTGCCTAATTACCCTAACTTTACCCTAATTACCCTAGTGAAGCCTTTACATGTCACTTTAAGCTGAATACTAGTGTCTTGAAGAATATCTAGTCTAATATTACGTGCTGTCATCATGCTTCAGTTGAGATTACATTAAACATTGAATAAAATAATGCACATTTCAAAGTGCTTTAACTACAAACGTGACTTGTTTTCTCCAGCGTGTGTGTTTCTCTCACCTTTGCGGTTCATGCCCATCTGCAGGCACTTGAGCAGGCGGCAGTATTGGCAGCGGTTGCGCTGTTTGCGGGACATCTCGCAGTTTTTGTCGCGGCTGCATCGATACACACGCTTGTTGCAGATGCTGCGCTTGAAGAAACCCTTGCAGCCCTCGCAGGAAATAATGCCATAGTGCAGTCCTGTGGCGCGGTCTCCACATATAAGACAAGAGCGCTGCTCAGCCTGGTCATCTGAAACACACACACATGCACATGCACATTAACATTAAGCATATACATTTCCACAGATTACCTAAACCCACACGGTGGCTCAGTGGTTAGAACTGTGGCCTCACGGTAAGAAGATCACTGGTTTGAGTTCTGGCTAGGTCAGTTGGCGTTTATGTGTGGAGTTTGCATGATCTCCCTTGTGTTGGCGTGGGTTCGGGTTCAGTCCAAACACATGCGCTATAGGGAAACTGATTAACTAAATTGGCCGTAGTGAGTGTGTGTGAATGTGAGAGTGTATGGATGTTTCCCAGTACTTGGTTGCGGCTGGGAGGGCATCCGCTGTGAAATAGCTGGCGGTTCATTCCGCTGTGGCGACCGCTGATGAATAAAGGACTAAGCTGAAGGAAAATTAATGAATTTTATCGCATCGTTGAGTCTTAATGTGTGTAAATACAGTTTTTATATTAATTTCAGTATCATTGTTATATTATTTTTACAAGATGCAAAATAAGACCCTTTTAGGTTTTGATTGTAATTGTGGTGTTTTGGTGACTGTCGCTTTAAATTCAAATGAGATTGTAATCTTTTCAGACGAGGGCGGAGCTACAAATGCCTATGTGTCAGCATAATGGCAAGTTTAATTATTAAATTAAATTTATTCAATTATAAAAAATAGAATTAGTTAATTTTTACCATTATTACCTGTTTATATACACACAACTGTATTTAAACCCCTTATAAAAGTGATTTTTGCATAAAATATTTTTGCATACTAGTTAATATGCCAATGTTTATATGATTAATGTCTAACACACTTTATAAATGAATGTTCCTTTATTTAGCAGAGCCAGACAGAACCTGCACATGTTTTGCTATTCCTGCACAGAGGTTTGTAATAAAATAAAATCTGCAGATTTATTCTGGATGCTTTTTAGTAACTAAAAGCTGAAAACATGAAGATTTTTGCTTACTTTAACTTTTATTTAAGGGTTACAATGCAACTATATCCGCTTGTGTGGTAAATGAAGCAAGTCTCTCAAAAATATGACTTTACAAACTGTATTGTAATTAAATCATACAAACATTGACATATTAGTTAATAATATTACCTAAATGAATATAAAATAACTAAATAAATATATATTTACACACATATACAGACGTAAACAGTGGTGTAAAGCAACAAACTGCAAATACTCAAATGACTGTAATCGAGTAGTTTTTCTCAGGAGATGTAATTGACTGGGTAATTTTATAAATGTGTACTTTTACTCTAGCTTGAGTACATTTTCAGTGCAGTATCAGTATTTTTACTCCACCATTTTCCTTCAGCCTGCAGTCACTACTGTATTTTGTCTTGTCTATGGGAATTAGAGAGATCAGTCCTGTTTTTCCTGTCCAATCAAATCACACATAGATGGTAAATCACACCATAATGAACTACCTCAAGACATGGGCGATTTATAATCGCAGCAAACTGTTTGGAAGCATTAAAAGAGTCCAAGAAGATGTCCAAAATCTGCACACGCATGGACCCAGAGACTGTTTAGAGGCATGTCACTGATGAGAAGATGACGGATGTCTACTGTGTGATGACCGAAATGGCATTAAACACCCAGCCAACCAAATATCAACATCTAATGATGTTACAGCTTGACGTTGTGTCGACGTTACCACTAAAGGCTGATTTATACTTCTGCGTCAAACGCCGGCGTATGCTACGGCGCTGACGCATAGCCCTTCGCCGTGGCTGTCGGCGTTGCTGACATGCACCTCTCAAAAAATTTAACTACTTGTCGCAACGACGCATAGTTCAAGCTCTGTGATTGGTCGGCTTGGTAGTGCTGACGAGTCTGGGCGGGACCGAGAGTCGCGTGAATGGCGCGAGCCTGATGGAGCGATTGTTTACAAGTGTGGAGTCCCGTGAAGGAGCTCCGGATGGAAAGTTTTGTTTTGTGTTCATAGTTAAAGTTGTTGCACATCCACCGGTTGCCACTTGTACATCCCGGAAGTGTTCAGGAAAAGCAAAACAGCAGTGAAGAAACTCGACACAGAGGAGCATTAACACCTCACTGCCCACTAGCGTTTCGGAAGTGTTAATGCAGACCAACAGAGACAGCGCGCACAAGTATAAATGCACAGCTACTCGCATTGCATGCGCCAAGGGTTATGCCGGTCACGTGACGCAGAAGTATAAACCATGCTTGCCATACCCAAGGAATTAATGCCAGTATTTGACATCAATATGACGTTGCTTTAAGATGTTGGCTTGATGTTGGATTTTGGTCATTTTCCAGCGACCTAAAATCAACATCATTTGACGTCATTATTGAACATCAAATTAACATTGTCCTTAGAGACTGGCTGGACATAAAATTTTGGTCACCTGACCTAACCTAATACTAACGTCTTGTGTTGTCGTGTGCCTGCTGGGCAATAACTAAATGCACTACAGAACGTTACGTTTACACACATCCACTAATTACATGTAGATGCACCAGCTTTTCCCAGCGTAATACCCACTACTCTTGAGTACTTTTGAAACATCTACTCATACTTGCATGATCTTACTCATACTTCAATAAAATATTTACAACAGATACTTTTACTCGACTTGCACTACATTTTCAGGCAAGTAACGGTGCTTTTACTTGGGTATGATTTTAAATTACTCTTTCGATCACTGGACGTAAATAAATAGACTCAATGAAGGGCTAAAGAATCTGGGAACACTTTAGTTTAAGAAACAATTCATACCATTAACCACTGGCTTATTACCCCGCCTCATATGATATTAACCGTTTATATTGAACTGTTTATTAGTACTTATAAATTAGGATCTTATTTTGCATCCCTAATCCCCAATACCTTAACCCAACTACTACCTTATTAATTATTAATAAGCAGCAGATTAATAGTTCATAGAACTAAAAGTCTTAATTAAAGGTTTGTTAATGGTGTGAATTGCAGATTAAAATAAAGTCTGC